TCTATCTATACTCTATATTTTGTTTGATGATTATTCTCTTTGTTCAGATTTTTTAAATCTTATTCTAGAAATGACTTTGCTTTTTTTCAAAATTTCCTGTGAGTTTATCTAGTTTGCTTGTAAACTGTCTGGTTCTAGTCTTGTATGATTCGTCTCTGCTTTTTAACATGTAATATATATTTCAATACTGTGTTTGTTTGTTTACTTGCTTTGCACGTGTTTGTATTATGTGGCTGATCTGCATTTCAAGGTGTTTTAGGATTCCCAGTTTTGTTCGCAAAAAATTTTTTTTGTAATGAATTTTTGATGAAACTTCTTCTAGGTCACTTTTTAAGTTCGAGTTTTTCTATTCTTCTACTTCTTTATATGTAATTTTACTTTTTGTATCTCTTTTCTTAATATGCTAAAGGGTGTTAATTAGTTAGTTTGATAGTTTATCTATGTAGTAACCTTTAGCTCAATTTTGTGACCAAATGATCTACAGAGAGAGTTGAATGTAGATTCGTAATTAGACTTTTTGTTTTGATAGTCTTATTAAAATACTAATATACCAAAAATTTTATATTATATAATATATAAACTATTTGTTTTGATAATTATATTTTTTGTTTTGATGATTAAACTTAACAATTATTAATTTTAGTAGTTAGTTTTTTAAATCTATAATAAAAACTACTAGCATAATAATTTATATATCTGATATTGTTATACTATAAATAAATAATAACATATTTTATAGTTTAGTAGTTAATATTTAATAATATACAAATTTATTATTATATATAAAAAAAATTTTTTATTATTAAGTACTATACTGATATACTTTATAGAAACTTATATTTTTAATAAATATGTTTATTATATAAATATAATATATATTAACTTTCTTATAAGAAATTATTTTAGTTAATTAATAGCTAATTAATAGCTATTTATTAGATATCATAATTTTTATAGTTTTGAATTATAAATTTAAAAATAAAATTTTTTAGATTAAAGTTAAATATAAAGTTTAAAAATAACCAAATTATATATAAAATTATCTAAAAAATATTTTTACTAGAATACTAAATATAGTTAATTAATAAACTTTTTAGCTATAAATAATTTTTTAAAAAACTATAATTATTTTAATTTTTTTTTTTTTAATTGTTAAGGCTACTTTCTTGGCTGATTAGATTTTATTAATTTGTAATTGCGAAGTTACCATATTAGTAATCTCCTAAGGTTTTATAGTTACATGATAAGTGTATAACAAGCTATATATACAACTTTAATTATTATCTAATTTAAGTAGTCTGCTATACAGACGATCGAACATCTGTTGGTTCTACACTATGCTACTATACTTGTAACCTACCTGTGAGTTACCTATTTAAACACTCTAATCATTAACTCTTTCTCCCATTTAAACTAACGTTATCACTATATCTAACTGCTTAAGCCAGCTAACTTACTTGTAGATTCATTTACCACATGATTTAGGTTCTCTTAGGATATGTATTGCCCAATGCATTGTGAGTACACAGAGCTCTGATTAAACTTAGAAGCAATTCCTACTAGTGTATTCATATACTCATTTCACTGATTCATCTGAATTGAATCCTTGTCGATATTCGTACAAACCAGTTTCTGCTGTAGCTCTCTACCAAATATAGTCTTCTGAGATTTCAGATATTTCATGAAGTAGATCCTCTCAATCTAGTTAGCTACTAAGCCAAGTTAGTATTGCTGCTAATGCAAGACACCAAGTTACATTATATAGCAACTTACTCGTATCTATTGATCTCACATCTTTCATACTCAGGTTTTTTACTAGATCAAGCATTAATTAGCTTGACTGTTAAAATCTGTACTACTTCACCAAACTTGAGATTTCTACTATGCAGGTTCTCTGCTCATAGATCCTATCAAGATTTATTTGTGCAATATAACTCAAATATTGTGTTATACTTCTAATATCTGATTAACATTAGTGCAATATGATTTACAGAGTTGTAACCCTCAGAAATAAACAGAGTTTACCATAAGTTAGGTACAAAGATCTGAGTAATTATTCAAATTTGTCAATAGTAGGATTTGAACCTCAGACTTTTTGCATAGCAGTCTGGTAATCTAATCACTATACTAAGATCACTAGACCTATATTTTAATTTTTTTTTATAATATATAAATTTAAATTAAACTAATAAATTATTTTAATTATAATTATTATTTAGAGTAGGTTATATAATTTAATACAATAGTGATATATTACTAGTATTACATGACTATATACTTTAATATAAATATATTAATATTATTTACAATATATATATATCTATAAATTTATTCACAAATAATTTATAAATTTAATATCAAAAACTATCACTATTATAAACTAAAATCTATTATCTTTGCAAGAAAAACATTTTTAACTAGCCTAGTTAGAGTTCAACATATAATCAAATATTCCAACTTGCTTAACACTAAAATAATAGAGTATCTCTAATTTACTTAGCATTAACTATAAGTATTCAAATAATCAAATAATAGCAAGTATATCCCTAGTTAATAGTATAGATAATTTGTTATAAGCATATAACAAAGTACTATAGTTCAGAAACTCAAATTTGAATAACATATAGAAACCATAATAGTAAGTTTGACCTGTAAAAAAAAATTTATTAAAAATATTATTTTCCTTATAACAATCTTTGTCATAACTACTCTAATACAAAAAAGAACAATCTAATACTTCTCTAACTCTAATCGTTAAAAAGAAATACTTATAAAGTTTGAATTTTACAAGTCTATGTTAACTATACATACTATTAAATATCTCTTCAAATCTATACTACTATACAGCACTATTTTGCTAGCTAGAAAAGATATCTAGATTATATAGTTTTAGAATTAAAACTCATATTCGTCTATTGCTATATTAGTATTCAAATATGCAAATAAAATCAAATAAAAGATCTAAAGTATAAAGCCAATATAATCAATTGTATAAGTACTAATACATAAAACTTAGACATTACAATTTTCTTAATAATAACCTACATAAATGATTGCTAATTACCTTATAAAATTACAACTAAGTTAGTATTAAGAGACATGCTGAAAATAAAATTCAGATAAGATTAAAGGCATAAAATAAGCATATCAATTATATTAATCACTTATACAAATATAAGTATTAAGCATTATAATTCTTTTGATAATATCTCAGATTACTACATTTTTTGCATCTTCTTTTTGGCTTCATTAACTTAATTTTCATAAGATGCTTTAAAATGTTTTGTATCTAGTGATCTTTCTCTGTTATATCGCTTTTTTGGATTTTGTAAACTAATACTACCATTTTTCTTATCGCTTAAAAAGTTATCTTGACTATATTCTTTATTAGAGGATCTATCAGAAGACTCATCATCAGTAAATTCTTATAAAATTTTTATAAAATGTTGTGATTTTGACTTAGATGATAATGCTTTTTATAAAGCTACCTTGTATATACTATGAAGATGCCTATGCATAAATTTTTGCTTTAAGATATTCATTTGCAGTTCATTGTTATTGTTAGTATTATCAATAGCATATATATAATTGAATAGTCTATTCTTTTGTAATAAGTTAATTGAATCATCATAGAATTTATCAGCAATAATAAAAGGTTTGTTCGATGCATCTTTGTCTTCTTGATACCAGTGAGATAGAATAAGCTGTATATAGAATCTGGCTTTACTCATAGCCAACATTACCTAGAAATAATACTAACAAATAATTCTCTATCGAATAGCTATGAGACACAAGTACAAATAGGTATTATTTTTCAAAAGAATAACATAATGCTTAATACTTAAAGAGTTCTCAACTCTAATACTCTATATTTTATTAACATTATCAAAGTTAATAACATCTAATAACTGATGTATAGTGGCTTGTGGATCATTAGCACTTTGATTTTCATTATTGAAGAGAGTAGTATTGAGATCTTCAGAAAACAGTATATCTTGCTTATTAACCAAATATGTAATGTAATAAAGTGATTAATTAATTTCATCATATTGTATATTTAGAATTTTAGATGTCAAAAATCCTTAACAATATTTATTTATCTACCTTCATGAATAAAAAATTTGTACGCTCAAAGTTTTTGAGTAATGGTATAGAAAGCTTCTAGTGTTGATAATGATTCTGTTTATCTTGTTGATCAAGTAATCTATGAATCTCTGACATAAGCTAACAAAGAGAAACATTAGAATTGTATAATAATTTTTTAAGGTATGCATTCATAGCTTCAATATGAAATGTAGAAATTATTCTTCTAGTAAATTTAAATGCTGTATATGAATATGCTTAATATTCTTTAGATTTATAGAAAACTTCTAGATAGTGCTTTCCACTTGGATAATTTTCTAAAAGTTTCATAAAGTGATTTTGAAATGTTTCTCAAACAAGACTATTTTTGCAATTATAAAAGTCATAAAGAAACTTCTTATACTGATTTCTAAGCTACTTGTGAAGATTTTTGTGAATGTTCTGTATAATATAAAATGTATAATGAATCAGGTATATTGTTTGAAACACTTACTTTACTGCAGTATCAATAGCAAGATTAGAATCAGTTAGAATTACAGTTGGCTATATGTTGGTAGCTTTTATAATTTATTCGACTATCCAAGTATAAGAATCTAAACTTTCATCTATAAGCAAATCTTGTACAAGCAAAATGTTTTGCCTATTCTGATTAAACTCTACAAAAAGTGACAAAGCTATTCTATACCAATTAGTCTTATGAGTTATATTATTAATTATACAGTTACTAAATTAGATTCAATTTTCTACTTGTTTCAGTATCATCTAAATTAGATGAGTAAGTGTATTGTTATCATCTCATCCTCTTGCTACGACCTACTGAGAATCCTTTTCTTTTTGCAAATCTAACCAATTTGACATTTAAGCTATATCATTTGAGAGAGAGTTAGCTGTAGATTGAAACTTTCTAATTGCAGTATACAAATCCTTGTTAAATATTACATAAGTTAGATATTTGCTTTTTAAATACTTGCTTTATGTAGTTGCACCTATTTTACAATATTGTATCAAGAATTGAATATTCTCTATTATCTCATTGCTAAATTTTTTATCACTCTTAAATACAATAGCATTGACATTAAGCAGATAGTTGTAATTATCTACAACTATATTAATAAAAACAGCTGAGTTGAGGTTTTTTATTTTAGAACAGGAAGTATTTACATGCTATGAGCATGATATTTTCTTGATACTAGTCTCTATTTTGGAGTTTGATTCATAACTTCATTCATGTTAACAAATATAAGTTTTTCTTCTAATTATTCTTTCCTCTCTATGAACACATCCTTAACGATATTGAACCCTATACTTTTTCTCTACTCACTTATAAACAAGTTATATTCTGTCTAATTATTAAATACTTTTCTAGTATATAGTCTTGCATCTTCGCTTTCACTATTGATTAATATAGTTCCTTCTAGTTCATAGCTTTCTAAGTTAGTTTGTTCACTCATTATGCAAATATAGTTTATTTACCTCTCTTATATTTGTAAAGTAACGAAATC